AATGGTTTCCCGGCACGTCATTCCGTGTCAAACCGGGAGAGGCGCTATTTTTTGGCCAGTTTGGATTTGCTTCAATTTACTTTTAGTAATAATAAATGCACGCATGCTTTCGTGCATACAGACGTAACGAGTCTTAAGGCTCACAAGATAAGTGCCAAGACACCAGAGGTTAAATCTAGAGCTGTCTCTTCATCTGTACCCCCGCAGCACCTGAAACACGTGCCGCGTTACGCCGCTCTATTCGAACCCATGCCGCTGGGCATTTTCCATTCAAAAGCCCAAAGCGTCATTTGCCGTCCCTCAGTCCATCTCGCTTTCCATCTGTGTGTAATGAGTGGTTGATCACGAAGAGTCATATTTTAAATGAGCGTGATCGAGGGGCTCCCGCTCGCATAACCTCATCCTTTATGTACGGTGGCACGCTTACGTGGAGATAAGACAGCATGATCTGTCATCGCGGTAGATAACGCGGGTTGAATGACGATTCCCGGCCGGCTCTCGTTCTCCGGCACCCGCCTCAGACTATAAGTGAGCCGCGAATTTCCCTCATGATTCTCTAACGCAGCGCCTACCGCGTGTCCTTGTCAGCTGGCCGAGAAGCCCCGGAGTGTAACATTCACCCATTTAAGTCGACAATCCCACGTCCAATCCTTCCCCTGATTTCGATGCCAAAAGCTGATCGCCTTTGTCAAAACTTAGGTGCATCTGGACAAGGGCCAGAGCATGTCCATTCGTCTATCTTCCACCTGTTTACATATGCACACAATTAAACATCGTGGACAAGCCCCCAGTAAGCGATTCACAGCATACCCTCTCAAAAGTCACATATATACTGGCATATCCATTAAAGAGGCAGACCTGGAAGTGTGTGTTTTATTTTTATCCCAGATTTACCGTTGTAATCTCCTACAGGCAGATACAGGCTGTTGTATCTCAATACAGTTTTCAGATTGTTATTTTAAATATCACAGTCGCGAGGGTCTTAAACATCACGTGGTACTACCATACACACCACACGCAGAGATTTTCTGTTTGTTAAGATTTCAGTATAAAGACGCCGGTCAGAGATACCTTTTTGAAGGGGCTGGTATGTCTGTGATCGAAAGGTCGCTGGTTTGAGCTTCGTTAGAATACAGACGCTCCTCTACTTATGAACTTTCAACTTACGAACATACGAACGAAGAGGACTGTAAGTCCTAATTGTGTTAATTGGGCTCCCGTTTCCTGTCCGCAACATCAAAAAAATATTCTGCGCAACAATTCCACCTAGTACGACTTCTGGCCGCTACTCCCGCCATGCAGCAGCGTAGCGTACGTACTCCCAGCATCCACGTTCTTTGTACTTGCGAAAACCCTTAAAATGATGTTGAATGCTGACTTACGAACATTTCAAGTTACGAACGGCCGTTCGGAACGTATCTCATTCCTAAGTAGAGGAGCGTCTGTAGTCATGTCTCTGTTGGGGGTAAGCCCTTAAGTGCGTGAGAGTCCAGTTTGATTAAGTGGTCCTGTCAGAACACTGACTCCTACTGAGAAGCTGTCGGCATGCAGTCCTCAACCGCTCCATGCTTCCCGTGACCGTTTCTGTCAAAAGTGTCGCCATTAATTATGGTATCGACTTGCCTGAATCCCTCAACAGTTTTCAAACACCTGAAACCGTAATTTCTGCTGCATGAACTCATCATACTTTTAAGCATCTTCCATTCAAGTATAAGAAAAAGTTAAAATATGTATGACCTGCTTTACATTTTTCTCAAAGATAGAGCAGCTTCGAGGGAAATGGAATGTTTTCACAAAAGCGCTGTGTAAAGTGCTGCTCAGCCAAATAGCTTTACTTAGTAGATTAACTTTAAAAATGCATCTTTACATGTTCAGTGTCCAAGACCAGAATCTGTCCCAGAACCATGCTCCACTCTGACTCTAATCACTGTTTCTGCATTTAACATTTTTCTGCTGAATGCTCCCTGGCAACGACAAGTGGTGGCCAAAAATTTTGAGAATGACACAAGTATTGGTTTTCACAAAGTTTGCTGCTTCAATGTTTGTAGATCTTTTTATCAGATGTTTCTGTGGTATACTGAAGTGCAAGCATTTCATCTGTGTCAAAGGCTTTTATTGACAATTACATTAAGTTTATACAAAGAGACAAGATTTTCAGTGTTGGCCCTTCTTTTTCAAGACCTCTGCAATTCGCCATGACATGCTGTCAATCAACTTCTGGGCCAAATCCGGCCTGATGGCAGCCCATTCTTGCATAATCAGTGCTTGGAGTTTGTCAGAATTTGTGGGTTTTTGTT